CCTAAAAAATCATTTTTTTAATAAAAGTTTAGTGTTCGTTTGACTTTATTTTACATGAAAATTGTCCATTAAAGTGAAATTTTTTTTTACCATTGGTTATGACATTTGTTTCCATTGAAAAAAATAAAACGTGAATTGGAAAATAAATCCCCACCAAAAAGGTGGGAAAATCATTTCCTCCAAAACCAAGAAATTAGGAGCGTGATGTTGTAGGGTGTAAAAAATTTTGCCCAGAAAAAAAAAGCTATCAAACAAGTCATTTTGGAGATTAAAGTGCAATTTTAAGAAACCCTCTAAAGGCTGAGCTTCTCTCATCTTGTGCTCAAGATTGACATGTTTAGATTATCAGCATAAGAAACTTTACTTTGTGTTGTCTCTTTACATACGTCTCTATTTGTATTCTAAGTGCATCTTTTGATCTGATTGGGATTGATTTCGACAATGTGGACGAAGTCACAATGCAGGATTTAATTTGTAGCCACACAAAGAAAGGGACCCTCTCTGTCATGTGTTGTTTGGTTAAAAGACAACCAATTATCAGTAAATGCTAGATATTTGATTTTCACAAGAACAGCTCAAATACAAATTAAACGGCCTAAGTCATGAATAGATTTGAAAAATTGAGTTATGGGCTCGTCTGAACTTGTAGATGGCAACTGAGACGCCTCAGCAAGAATTTGCAAATATAGCAGTCTAGAACTATACTATAGCCGGAATCAGAATCAGGGCCGTCTCCTTCAATTCAAATCCTTTCAATAATTGGCCTTCCGAAGTTGGTCACAAAAATAATTTCAGCAAGAATTGCCAGTATCTTTCAAAATAACCATTTTGCTGGTAGAGGCTCAGGAAGATGTCGAACTCAATCTAAAACATAGTGCGAATGTGTTAACAACAAGAAATGAACAAAGCAATTCCGAAGGTCTTGCACATATTGAAGAAAATTATCTTCAAAACACAAAAAAAAGAGGGAAAAATCAACTGATTTTATGTCTGCCTAACCACAGAGTTTTTCACAACAGGCTATCAGTTCTTGCAGGCAATCTCCTCAAGAAACTTATAGGATAGCAGGGAAGCTGGTCGCGAAACCTAGGATGCCTCATTGCGTAAAACCCGATGATGATAACCACAGCTTTGGGAGGTGTTACATACAGTACGATAGAAGCAATTAAACAGAAGATGAGAAACAAAGCCGTAGCTCTTGGATCTCTCCAGCTTAGTAGATTATAAAACCTCTCTCCCTGAGTAGCCAAGTCCCCAGCAACAGTTTGAACCCTCGAAGCAACAACTCTTAGCCTGTCATATCTCATTTTTACAACATCATTGTTCTTTTGAGATGTTGGGAAAGTATCGAACTCTTCATCTAGTTCATCATTGTGTGCTGTATCGGCTTGAGATAACCTAATGTCCATGTAAGGAGGATGTCTAGGCCTCCCTCGGTAATTCCATGTTCCAATCAAGAAAATGTATAGAAATATAGTGCTTAAAATCATCCATGGAAAACAGACCAATGTCAGGAACAAGATGTGAACAAGGATTGTAATGAAAGGGTTCTTCCAAGTGCAAACCTGTTCAAACCATTTGCAAAATGCTATGAAGCCAGATAGGATCCCAGCAATTCTATAATGATTGGCTTTGCTTCTTCTTATGCTCCACATGTTCGAGCCCACATCGAGCATATACTCCACTACCTCTTTCCTTAATGGCGGCTCTGCACGGCTCAGCCTCATGGAGACAATTTGAGTAGCCTGATACCTCAAACTATCAATCTGGTGACAAGTGAGAGGGTGAAGGTAATGAAGGTTTGGCAACATTGGCTGCGCGTACATTTGTAGCAAGTCGAACAATGAACAACAAGAAAACCTCACAGCCAATTGAATTTCACCCATCTTCTTCATGCCACAAGGCGACAACACTATAAGAGGGTACAAATGAGTGTAAACACGATCAGTCTGGAGTGTAGACAGCCGAATCCTTACCTTTCCAATTCTTGAATCATTTACTCCTCCATTTTGTCCTTGTAAATGGCAATTGTCAAACACACCAATTGTTATTACAGTACATGGATCAAAAACCTCCCACGTGTACTGCTCATTCCACATTGGATTAAAACTATTGAGAATTGTCCTTGTCCTAATCCATTTTGGGCCATACTTGGCCACACAATAAGCATCTGTCATTCCTTGGCCATCCTTAGTCTTCATTGGCGACAGATTTTTGGCGTTTAAAATTCCCAATTCAAGCACCCCAATCGGAGGCTTCCATAGCTGCTTAGCCGTTGGCCTAAGATCACTACTGTAGTGTGTTAACTCGTCAAGAACGTGGTACCCGCCATCCAAAGTGATCCTCAAGTGAACCCTGCTATTTAACTTGGTCACATTACTCTTCCCATCCCCCGAAACTGTATGCTTGTCTAGATTATACCACCTACCAACAGGGGGCCTGAAATTCAACCTCTTCTCTACACCCTGTAAAGGAATCATGCACTTGCCTAAAGATTCATCCTTATTAGGTCCAATTTTGGCCTCCACACTCACAACCAACTGTTCCTCGAACGGCTCTGCAACAGCAAACATTAAATCCTCATTCCATAATGGACATATATTCCTGCTTTGAGAAATTTTAGTCCTCAACATCATACTCCCAATACACGCCTTCACAAAAATCTCTGGCTGCTGCCTATTCTTGTCACAAAGTTGCAATTCTTGAGCCTCTATCACATTAACTCTAAGATACCATAGTCTAGGTGACAAATACACCTTGGACTTAATAGTCGTGACACCATCGCCACTAATGGCGGAGGCATCCAATTGCCAAGCCTCTGGGAATGCCTCGTCCGCTTGTGTCCCCAACCAAACGGCTAGCATCAATTCTCCTGTTACCCTTTCGCCTTTTGCATTCTCCAGCCTATACCATTGTGGGGCCAAAGGACTATCGGGTGGAACCCTTTTCGGAACATCAGCGATATCAACTAAAAGCATTCCGACCAAATCATCACCACTTCTATCTTTATCCTTCACCGATATCTCAATAAGCGGAACCTGAATTCGACCTGTCAAGATCGAAAAAACTTGATTCCACTCCGGGTGAGGCACATTACTAAAATGCTTAGTAACAGACTTAAACCCTCCAAGTTTTACTTCGACAAAAGGGCTCGGGCTGCCATTCCCATCCTTTGCTGGCACCTCCTTGGCCTTCACCACTCTCACATACAGATAGTCCATTTCCTCCACCAGGTCGAACGCTGTCCCAGCCCGGTCATTGCCGGACACCCTTCCACCACCGAGAGACGGCGAGGTCTCCCTCAAGTCGAAATCCTCTTCAGGGTTTGGATTTCTGTTAGCATTCGGGTTCTGATTTTGGCTCTTGTTTTGATTCTGATTCCTGTTTTGGTTTGCCATTTTGCCAAAACCTGCAATATCGTGTGTAGCAAAAATTTGAAGTGTTCAACGATCAAGAAAACTCTTGAAATGTGTTTGATTTTCAAAATCAAAAAAATTCAAGAGCGCCTAAAAAATGGGAACTGATATGAAGACTTAGAAACAGAGTCGTTACAGAATCAAGAGAATATAAATAGACCTGGGTTTGAATTTTTCCTAAAATTTTGGTAACGGGAACATAATGCCAGCGAATTAACGGCTCTGCATTGAATATTTGAATTTTCGGAGATACCCACGTTTGGAAAAAATAGGTATATACTCGATGAACACGGAACGCCCTATTACTTGTTTAACCGCTTCTTGATTTTAATGACTGAACACAAAATTGGCAAAGAAAATATCAGATAAGAACCCAAAACACTAAAATGAATATATATATGATTCTATATGCATGTGTGTACGTATAATGTATAAAGAACACTGCAGTTAGTGGGACTTAGCAGCTTACGCAGGTAGTGCCTGTGAGTACATGCAGACACTACACACATTTTCTGAGCGAGGGTGGGTGGGCCGTGGGCATAGAAAAGGAGAGAGAGAGAGAGATCACTGATTTGATTTACATTAATTACCTTAAAATTGAAATAATCTGTTACATATCTGCTGATTCCTGTATTAATACATTATATCCGATTGTTGACTGAATTGCAATAGCATCACCAACTTTGATCTCATTTGCACTTCTATCTCCAACATTTTTCTTGCGGCATTAATTGTCTGGTCATTTCGTTTTTAGGCTCAAATGTTCCTTGACGATGATTTCTATCCATAATGATTGATTCGTCCATAGATAATTATATTCACATCATAATTTTTACTGGCTGCATCACATTTTAATTGTAATAAAAATTCTCAATATTTGTTCACTTTTACACTCATTTTCTTAACTTCATTCTAATCGAATTTTTATCCTTGACCTTTATTTAACTAACACCTTGTCTATGATGACCACTTTTGCACAAATTCTATTAATGTATGTTGAAACGAGGAACAAATAATTTGTCAAAATTTTGTATTTTTTAAATATATTTTGATTATTTAAAGATACGAAAGACAAATAAGTCTTTACGTTCTCCTAGCAAATTTTTTCGACAGAAACTATCACGAGATGTACAATTTAATACAAGGTTGATACAAAAATTTGACAAAAAAAGTTGAGGATACAAGAGTAAAAAATGAGTGAGGTTAAGGATATTGCATCCTTAATTGCAATTAAAATATGATGTAACAAACTTACCCCCAAGTTCACGTGAAAAGGCAAAATTACCCTTAAACCAAAATTACATAAGAAAAGAATGATAAAGAATTTCTCTAGATGCAGGGAATTTTAAATCACTGTTTTATACATGCAACCTGAAATCAAATAGTCCATACCTAGAAGACAGGTTAACATTTTCTGGGAATTTTCTTCCAGAAAAGATGATTTTCCAACACATTATTCTTACCACCTGATTTGAATCACAGGATTTACTTCCCAGATAGGAGGGCATCAATTTTGTGCTCTAGATGTGCTTCGTGATCTTCCAGACGACCCTTTATTGCACCATCTTCCCAGCGGACTAATGTTGGAACTCCTTTGAGCTTAAATCTTGAGTCAATTCTCCACGGGTGCTGGGGATTCCTCCATGTAGGTTTATCTCCGACATAAGCCTTCAGCAGTGCCACATCGTCTGGTGATGATTCTAACATCTTGTATATGATGGGCTCAGCTCTCACACAATCTGAATAAAGAAAACCAGTCATCTTTTTGTCATAATGTAGGTGTACCAGTATCTCAAAGCAGAAAAAAAACAAAAAGGTGGGCACAGTTACAAGAATCCTGAAGCTTCGACTCAGTTTAGTAATTTGAAAGAAAGAGAGGGGGAACAAAGAACTAACAGATTGAGTAAAAATTATCATGACATTGTACAGGTCACTTGCTATCTATATTAAGGAGAATAATTTGAGCTTCATAGACATCCAATGACTAAAAAGGCTCATTCAAGTACCAAGACATTTACCTTTATGAGGTGAGACACGAGCTCGAGGCTTAAACCTCATCAACCAAACCAATAAAATAATTTTAAAAAAAATTATAAAGTTTAAAAACATGCTTTCTGATAAATGTAAATGATATTGAAAACCTGTATAATAAAACATAACTTAAATTCTAGCCCCTGTTCGATGCCCATTAAAAAGAATTTTTCTGAGAAAATGAATTTTTGAATAGTGATTTTTTGGAGAATGAAAGGTTTAAAGTAGGAAAAATGTTTGGATTTACATACAAAATATTTTATCGTGAGAATGTGTGGTTGACAATGAGTTTTAGAAAAAAAAAAAAGGTTTTGGAGAATGGTAGAAAAACAGGGGCCTAACTTAAAAATAAAAATAAATTAAATCAATAAATAATAAATTGACAAATAAATAATCACATAACAAAATTAACCCAATACTACAATTAGGAAAAGCCTAAAAGCTTGTCATATCTGCTAATAAGATCTTCAAGAAAATGATCCAAGAAAAAGATCAACATATTTTGTTTTTGTATCGTCCTCTTCATAACTACGAGTTTTTTTCTCAAATTTTTCCCCATCCTCCACTTTCCCTTCACCTTCCCTATAAATGCAGAAAGAAGCAAACAAAAAGCACGGGACAAATATATCATGGGTCTTTTGCTGCTGAACATGATTAGCTTGCATGCAGTATAGATGTTTCAGTATTGTGCCATCAATACAGTACAAATAATGAATGATCATCTAAGTACATCAAAACTAGTACTCCTTAAGGGACTCAATCAATGGAAAAGCAAATTGGAAAGAAGATATAAAATTGACAAATTGATTTCATTTCAAGATTTACGAGAGGTGTTAGGATGGAGAGAGCACTATTATTCTTTTCCAGCCATCTTCTAAAGGAAAAGATGAGAAGCAAATTGCGAATGTAATAGCCCTTCCTTTCTGCCCAACGTTTGTAGGCACACATGTTAATTAACGTGTATGAGGTAACCAATGTGATGGAACAAATAAGAAGAATCAGGGTTTAAATCATTTTAAAATACACTAATAATGGGCATAAGCCAAGGAGCTTCGACATCTGTAGAAGAAAAATAACTTATGCAATAAAAGAGAAGCAAAAAGAAAATGGAGATTTAATTGTAGAATGTCATAAAAAATTATAGTCCCAATAAAAGGACCAAATTTAAATAACTGAAACATTTTGTTCATGACACCTTACCTATTCAATTTCAACATTGATATTCTGGGATTTAAAAATTAAAAGATAAAACCTTGAAGCCAAAATAGAAATTCATCCCGTTAGGAAAATGACTTTTCAGAAAGACAAAGAATTTCGATTGAAACCTTCAATTCAATGACAAAAGAACCCATTATTCATCCAAAAGTATCTAACAAGATTCATTTTCTTTTTATCAAAACAAGTGAAGTTTGATCACTCATGTACTCGTGGATGTCGTCATTGAACATGCATATACTTCATTTCTGTACTGCGTCCATCAGGGATATGGTATATATAGTTCAAAGCAAAGAAAATTTAGGATAAACTTGACTCATCGAAGCCAAAAACCAGGAAAACAAAAAAGAGCCAAGAGATATTATTAGTGAAGATTTGAGGTTACATGAGAACACTATTGTCATCATTTTGACTAAATACTTTGTTTCTAATTTGAAAGAGAAGGAAAAACAGATTCAATCTAATGCAAACTGTAGAATTCACCCAATACTAAGGTCAGAGTAAGGAAAAGGATGAACCTGAACATTAAACCACATTTTTAGTTATTACAGAGAAACTACATATGAACTATGTTATCATACTAGTTTATCACGATACATAAGCCACGAGGACCAAAAAGGGGGGACGGAATGTCATAATCAGGTCACCAGCACACCCCCGACACAAATTGACATTCTTAGTTTCAATGAAATTACCAAGAAGACAAATTGTATATAATCACCATTTCATGGCCATGTTATGTTAGCAATTTTAATTATATATACTGTATACAGTACAACGTCAGATAACTGTAGTTTCCATACTCCAAAATTAGAGAAAAAGAATCCTCAAGAAAATGACTAAAAGAACATCAATCCATGCACAATATTTCCCCAATCAGAGACAGAGAATATACTAGTAGTTCAACAGATAATAAACCCTTAATATGGGACTTGGGCGACCCCCCATCCAGTACCTCTTCTTGTTGGAATATAACCAAGCCTCCAGCACATCAACAAACCAGCAGCCCAGTTCATGTTCACCATCTCTCCAGTTCAATGAAACAGCAGCAAACCTGTTCACGTGTTCAGCTCCCTCTTATTCCAGATTCTTCTAGATTGTTCTTTAGTTTGTTATCTTGTTAGTTTGTTAGTAATTGGTTAGCTAATTTTCTCTATAAATAGGCTAGTTTACAATGTATTTTCCTTAAGCAAGTATGGAATGAATTTCTACTTCTTCCCTGTGCATTTGCATCAGGTTTATCCAGTTCTATTCTTCTCTGTTTTTTTGTTCCAATAAATTCCAGTTTATTCCAGCTTCATTTCCTGCCTTCTTTCCTTGAATTTATCACTTCTTGCTATCAATTCGACAATTAGCCCCTGTTTCATCCTCGCTCTTCTTAAAATTCATTCTTTTAAAACTTATTTTCAATGACACATTATTCAATAAAATAATATTTCACGCAAATCCAAAATTTTTCCTTATTTTATAACCGCATGTTTTCCGTCAAATCGCATGACAAAATGCATTTTTACGTGCATCAAACAACCCCTTACAATATAATAATCTTAGTCAGCATCAAATAAACACACCCAAAACGGTATACATTAATGATAGAATTATCATATAAATGGTAACAACCCCTTACAATATAATAATCTTAGTCAGCATCAAATAGACACACCCAAAACGGTATACATTAAAGATAGAATTATCATATAAATGGACTGAATTTTACCAGGGCACCAGCTAAGATTGGTGGATGGGTCTTTGTCAGCCAAGAAGACGATGAAATTGGCATTGTATTTTGTCGATTCACTTGTAAATTTCTCAAAAACCCCATCAAATGTTGACATTGTTGCTTCCAACGTATTCATCGGCATCTTCTCATCTCCTTTTCTTCTTACAACTTTCAGTAGAGAATCGAATGCTGTCTCTGTGGCTTCTGGGATATGAATAGAAGAAGATATATAGAAGATCTCTAGACCCAGTAAGCACAACATAAAGGGAAGTCCATAAAGAACAGATTTGGTCATTGAAAAAATCAAGGCTCTATGTATGGTTCAATATGCTAATTTGAAGAATGAACGGACATTTCCCCCATTGCCTCATAGGGAAACGGCAATATTTTTCATGATTGGAAAAAATTCAAATAAACTCATTTCTGGTGTGAAATTTTATAATTTGAGCATTCTGGTTAAAAAAAAAATGGAGAAGTCAATCTCTTTCGAATAAAATAGGTTGACTTTATATAAGAAAATTGTGTAATTAACTGGATAGCAATAAAAAAAAAAAGAAGGGATTTTGGAAATTCTATTCCTTCTCCACCAACGACAAATTTTGATGATTAAATACTTCAAAATTTGCAGAATTGCGGATCGAGTCCAGGTTAAAAAATGATTTTAAATAATTTTTTCTTCATTAAAAAAGTGAGACTTCAGACATGGAAACAAGTTCTGATCTTTTCTAGGGAATTTTCCAATTTGAGAGTTTTTTCTTGATATGGGGTTGCTAAGGAATTTTTACAATTTGTTGTTGTTAGAGGGAGTTTTTCAATTTTTCTTGATATTCTTATTTTCTAAAAAAAAAAATAAAAAAAAAAAAGAACGACAGGAATAATCGTCAAACGAACCGAATATAGTATTTTCCAGGTGAAAAAATTGGCGGAAACCATGGTTTAAGATTTCATTACAAATTATATTCAAAAATCAAGTGTTAAATATAGTATTATATTTATGTAAACAATATATTTAAAATTATATTATAAAGTAAGTATGTATGTATATTATCAAACTAATCCCGAATTTAAAGGTATTATCATCGTCATTAT